AGGAGATAACTTTTGTAAATAAAGACAATCGATAGATGTGGAAAAGTGTTTTAACCTACTTTTGGTGTAAATGTTTCAAACCAAGAATAAGGTGATGTAATCACTAAAATACCATCTTTTTTAAGAAATTAGCAACATTTGACGCAAAACTGAAGATTATAGTGAATTGCTAGTAGTAGTGAGCTTACTATAGTACTCTGAAACATGAATACTGTCCCGTATTCAGTATTTGGGCTTTTTTCTTGTAAAGGGAAGATTTCATGATCAACGACCTGTGGGCCACATGAAACATTTTTTAGAAACGCAAAAAAATGTTTATTGGATGAAAGTTTTAAATTTATACAAGAACACAACAGTTATTGAATATCCTTCATAAAAAGAAGACTCCTCTTTACCTCGCCATGGACCATTAATACAAATTGTATCCATTGATAGGTTCTTTTGATCTAAATAATATATATCTGTCATATGTTGTTCATTTACATAGTCATGTAAGCCATTGTTGACACATCAATAAACGTATATGTCAATGAAATGATAGAAAATGAAAATAAACAAATCTGTATTAAATAGAACAAAACATTTATACATTCCGGTAGAATATGACTTTTTGATCCGCAATACAACATCCTGCAGAAACCTGCAAAACTCCGCACAAATTACAAGATTTGGGTCTTCTGTTTCATATCCTTCTTCATTCCATCTCCACTTATAAGTTTTAGCAAAGTGGCAAAGTGCAACTCTTTTTATACAAGTTCTGTGGCATTCAAATTCGTCCGACGCCTAAACGGCTAAAGTTGTAGGTTTTGAATTTTTGGTGACGCGTAGAACAAAAAGCGATGCTTCTAACCCACCCTCAGCAACATTACTTCAATTTGAAAGCTTTTATGCCGCTGATTTGTCTATAAAGACGGACAAGTTACATCACCAGCAGATGGAGAGATCTTATTTTTCACAAACCAATACAGTTAAGTGTACTTAGTTGAGTGATTAGCACCCTTAGTCTCCAGATATCATTGTTCAAAAGTTATTCAAAAAACTCCACACATCTACCGCTGTTTGAACCAGTAGATTATTCTCCTGTTTGTAGGGCACGTTTAAACGTTTACTCGAGTGTTCTCGATATTCAGTACAAGTTAGGAAGCCCCATAGAAGATAAACTCTGACAGTTCGTGGGAAACCCGATGGAAACATTTTATTTAAACGACACAGAAAAACATATATCTATAATCACAACACGACACGTCGTTATCAAGTAGAAGCACCGTCAGAATCAGGTTTGATATCATCTAGCGTTGTTCTCATTAATACGCCATAGTCATGTTTTCTGCATCTGTTATATTGTATATCACAGTCATGTTTTCAGTCGTTATTGCCAGCGCATGTGTATCGCTAGTACCTGAAACTAAATAAAACCATACCTATAATCACAACACGACACCTCGTTGTCAAGTAAAACCACCATCAGAATCCAATACGTACAACCGTTTGTTTCATCAAAATCCTGCATAGTTTCCTTTTATTAAAGATGTACATTCTATGAAAATTCGTACAAACTAACCCACAGACGGTGAAGTTACTGCCGCTGTCGTCTTTGTCTTTTTAGATGTTGTGCGTATTGAAGCTGTAGTACCACTAGTACTAAAAGAATACCAGAACTACGTGAAATGAAATATGCTAAATGAGAAGAAACAACTCACGTGTAGTTGCTGATTTCATCTAGCGTTGTTCCAGTCGTTGTTGCCAGCGCATGTGTATCACTAGTACCTGGAACTAAATAAAAAAATATATCTATAATCACAACACAACACGTCGTTAACACGTAAAAGCATCATCAAAAGCATCATCAGAATTCAATACGTACAACCATTTGTTTCATCAAAATCGTGCATAGTTTCTTTTTATTAAAGATGTACATTCTATGAAAATTCGTCCAAACTAACCCGGTGTCGTTCTTGTCCTTTGAGATGTTGTGGGTAGTGAAGCTGGACTAACACTAGGTACTAAAAGAATACCGGAACTATGTCAAATAAAATATGCTAAATGAGAAGAAACCACTCACATATAGGT